AGTGACTTATGACGGCTTTCCACACTTATGACCAATGCAGCATCAATGATCAATATTTGGATGCATGGCAACTGATTCATTTTACGACTGTTGTAGTGTCACGGGGTTGTGTGATCCCCTTTTGTGACCTTCTGACAAGCAAAATCAAGGGGGAAGGCAGATTTACTTAACAACCATGTTCCTAAATTAACAACTGCAGTGATTCATTTACAGTAGTGGCCAAAATTGTGGAAACCTTTTTGGGAAAAGTGTACAGTAGAAATGCCACCTTTGGTTAAATTTCCACCAATTTTTCTTCTAATTTCTTTATAGCTGTAGCCTTGCTCACTTAATAATACTATTTTACATTGCTTTTTGGGCGACCAGTCAACTCTTTGCACCCTTACTTTAATTTTATTACGTTTTACAAGCTCATTAAATGAAAGAACACAAAAAGACCGGAACCAACCTGATAGCGATCACATAACACACTGACAAATGTCCTCCTCTCAGCTTCAATACATGACATCAAGAACTGAATCCTACTGTGATCTGTTTGGCTCATTGCCAGAACAAGAGGACACCCGATTGGCTCTCTAAACACTTGTGCTCATTGGCTACAATCAGATGAAGGAAATCTACCTGAGATCAACCTAAGCAAGGTGTGCTTCCTTTTTCTGGTTATTTGACTATAACTTTTCATAGAATCCAGTACAGATAATTGAACAAACTTTGTTGCATTACATTCTTGATTAAATTATCTTTCCACTGATATATAATTTTATGGTACTACTCCCCCCAAAAATTGGTGTTATTAGCCATCAAACCTCAAAAATACACTTTTCCCAAAAGGTTTCTACAATTTTGGCCACTACTGTAACAATGGTGGCCAGGAAGGCTGTAAAATGGGGCAAAACTCGCTTAACACATGTCTCGCTTAGCAACATAAATTTTGGTCTCAATTTTGGTCGTAAGTCAAGGACTATCTGTAACCTTCTTGGACTCCTTGCCGTCATTAAGGTATATTTTGGCCTTCGGGGATTTAATTACGGTACCTTCTGAAGGAATGAAATGTGAGGAGAAGATTGTCAAGACATCTGAGCTCAAGGAGATATGAAAATAATAACTTGCCTTCGATTTTCCTAGGGTGGCATGGTTACCGCAGAACTACAGGTAGGTCAATGGGAAGTTAGATCCCTTCCCGAATTCAGAAAGACATAATCAGAGGAGGCATCTTGCCAAGTTTAATCAAAACTTTAATAGTATCTGGAGTACACTAAATTACATTTGTCTTCCAGAAAAAGAACTCATAATTCTCCATTTTTTGGTACAGCAAGAATTGATTTGTTCTATTGATAGAAGAGAATATTTGCAGCTCAGGGTTGGACTGTGGAGTCCTGGGTGCTCTCCGAGCTTGGTGGTTTTCTTGCAGACGTTTCATGACCCAACTAGGTAACATTATCAGTGCATGGAAGGAGTGGGGTTTTCAGAGTGGAAGAGAAGGAGAACTACGGGGTCCTTGATACTCTCTGAGATTACTATAGTTGTTTTCTTGCAGATGTTTCATGACCCAATTGGGTAACATTATCAGTGCTGGAAGGGAGGGGGAGGAGGAGGAGGAGGAGGAGGAGGAGGAGGAGGAGGAGAACTATGGGGTCCTTGGTGCTCTCAGAGGTTGGTGGTTTTCTTGCAGACATTTCATGACCCAACTAGGTAACATTATCAGTGCATAGAAGGAGTGGCGTTTTCAGAGTGGAGGAGGGGGGAGGGGGAGGAGGAGGAGGAGGAGGGGGAGGAGAACTATGGAGTCCTTGGTGCTTTCTGAGCTTAGTTGTTTTCTTGCAGATGTTTCATGATCCAATTGGGTAACATCATCAGTGCTGGAAGGGAGGAAGAGGAGGAGGAGCAGCAGCAGCAGGAGGAGGAGAACTATGGGGTCCTTGGTGCTCTCAGAGGTTGGTGGTTTTCTTGCAGACGTTTCATGACCCAACTAGGTATCTTTATCAGTGCCGAAAGGGAGTGGGGTTCATTCTCTGTTTACATACTTGCCCTGTCAGTGTTGATGGGAGTGTTGTTGTTGGTTCCTTGATTAGGCTGTTGGTTACTGCTTGATTGTTTGTCTGAGTTGATACTTGATAGTTGATAATTCCTTGATTGGGATATTACTTCTTGATTGTTGGTCTAGTATTATTCTCGGTGTTATTCTCTCTTTGTGTAGGTGTTGGGGAGTTGTGTGTTTGGTCTTTATGTTTTTTCTTTAGCTTTTTAATTATCTCTTTTGAATGATGTGTAGATGTGGCTTATCTCTGTGTGCCTGCGGATCCACAGACAAACAACGTAACAGTGAACAACAGCCTAAGGAAGGAACCAACAAGAAGAAAACACTCCCACCAACACTGACAGGGCAAGCCACCTGTATATAAACAGAAATCAACCCCCCTCCATCCTAGTACTGATGAGGTTACTTAGTTGGGTGATGAAACATCTACAAGAAAACAACCAAGCTCAGAGAGCACTGTCCTCCTCCTCCTCCTCCTCCATCACCCCACTCCTTCTGGCACTGTTGTTGTTACCTAGTTGGGTAACGAGACGTCTGCAAGAGAACAGCCAAGCTCAGAGAGCACCACAGTTCAACCCAAAAGAGCTACAAATATTCTCTTCTAAATTTGAACTGACCAGATTCTGTGGGTGAAATTCTAACCGTATTGTACAAGGATGAATTTCTGTGAGTTAATCACCTGGATAAGAAATTAGCTAGCAGAGGGAGGGACAAACCAAACAAATCTCTCCCCAACAGGTAGCCTTCCAGATGTTTTGCAGCTACAAGTCCCAGAATTCCACACCTCCAACTGAAGCAATCTCTAAACCAGGGGTAGGCAACCTTGGCTCTTTTATGACTTGTGGACTTCAACTCCCAGAATTCCTGAGCCAGCCATGCTGAGGAGAAAGGGAGAGGTTTCCATGCTGAGCCATGTTGGCTCAGGAATTCTGGGAGTTGAAGTCCACAAGTCATGAGGGGGCCATAGTTCCCCCATGCTGGTTCAGGAATTCTGGGAGTTGAAGTCCACGAGTCATAAAAGAGCCGAGGTTGCCTACCCCTGCTCTAAATCTTTGAGGTGCAAAACTGAAAAATATTAGGCTAATCCACAGCCTTTCCATTTTTCCCAAAGCCCAGAGCCAAGGAACCAGCCCAGGCCAGCAACCAAATCTACGTCACTAGTTCATTCTTTGGATACCAGCCTCATCTGAAAATAAGATATATCTCTGTATTTCTATAAATACATCCCTGTATAAATTCAATTTATTCCCTTTAGAAGAACAAAGCTCATTTCAAATAATAGCTTATGGCATTATAACATTTAAGGCTAGGTTGTGCAACAGCCAAGGAGTCCACAGGGAGGGATTTGAAAAGTCAAGTTGCTGGTCCTGATTGTTTGAAGCCCAGTTCCTTTTTTTACACGTACAGGCCGTCCTCGACTTACAAAAGTTTGTTTAGGGACCGCTCGAAGTTACAACAGCACTGAAAAAAGTGGCTTATGGCCATTTTCACACTTATGACTGTTGCAGCATCCCCAGGGTCACGTGATCAAAAATGAGACACTTGGCAACTGGCTTGTACTTATGACAGTTGCAGTGTCCTGGAGTTGTGATCCCCTTTTGGGACCTTCTGACGAGTAAAGCCAATGGGGAAGCCAGATTCACTGAACAACAGTGTTACTCCCTTAATAACTTGTTCACTTAACAACTGTGGCAGGTAAGGTCATAAAATGGGGCAAGACTCATTGAACTGTCTCGCCTAGCAACGGAAAATTTGGGTCCAATTGCAGTCATAAGTCAAGGACTACCTGCTTGTATGTGTGACACATATAAAAATGACGGGGGGTTTGATTGTGTATTTCTGACCACCCTCCTGATTTTTTTTTTTAACCTCTCCCTCCTGCAGACTGACTCGGCTGGAGCAACATTAGATGCCTTGCCAATTTAAAAACAACACAGTTCATCCTGGTTGAGCCGACATTCGAACACAGCTTGCGAAGCTTCTTTTCGCCGTTCTTTGAAACAGATTGGGAGCAAATTCTCATCAGCTTAGAGTAAAATTCCTCCTCTTTTTGCCAGCTCAAGAGGTTAAACCAGGGGTAGGCAACCTTGGCTCTTTTGACTTGTGGACTTCAACTCCCAGAATTCCTGAGCCAGCCATGCTGAGGTGACAGGGAGAGGTTTCCAAGCTGAGCCATGCTGCCTCAGGAATTCTGGGAGTTGAAGTCCACGAGTCATAAAACAGCCAAGATTGCCTACCCCTGGGTTAAACCATCCAGAAACACTAGAACGTGAAAGGATTGATAAATCACTTAAGGATTTTGGCATTACAAGTCCCACCTTTGAAAGAAAAAAAAAACGGAAGACAACCATTTTAGTGCAAACACACACAATTCAGAGACAACGTCCAAATAGGGCCTTTTGCTGCCAGGTGCAAAGCTTGTGACGATACAGGCAGTCCTCAACATACAACAATTTATTTAGCGACTGTTCGAAGTTGTAACAGCACTGAAAAAAGTGATTGGTGACCGTTTTTCACACTTACGACCGTTGTGGCAGCCCCACGGTCATTTGATTGAAATTTAGATGCTTGACAACGAACGGTTGCCGTGTCCCAGGGTCACTGGATCATCTTTTGAGACCTTCTGCAAATCAAACTTAATGGTGAAGCTGAATTCATTTAACAACGGTTACTAACTTGCCCATGGCAGTGATTCACTTAACAACCGTGAGAAGAAAGGTTGTAAAATGGGGCAAAACTCACTTAACAACTGTCTCAATAACAGAGGTTCGGGGCTTGGTTGTGGTTGTGAGTGGAGGACTGCCTATATTCATCTCAACAGACTTTTTTTGATCACACAACCGTGTCTGATTTTCCCTTTTGACCCTCTGAACTGATTAGAATTATGTTGTGTTAGGATTATCAGAATAAGGCAAGGTGACGTTTGTGAATTTCAAAAGCTAGATGTGTCCACAGAGGCAGCTTAGGAGACCCAGACAAAGTAAGCTACCTCGTCCAGATCCACGGGGTAGTCCGTGATCAAGGTAGGAGTCTTCTCAAACAGCTCTCCTTTGTAACTCCGCCATTTGCCCGCCGGGATATAGATGTCTCGTTCCTGTTTCCCCATCTCCAAGACGGGAGCCACCATCAAGGTGTCTCCAATGAGAAACTGAGAATCGATCTTGTGAGCAGACTCATCCCCAGGAGAGATCCACCATATGGGCCGTATGATGGGATCCCCCGTGGTCGTGATCTCCCCGGCCAGTTCCAGCAGGAGAGGGGCCACCAAGGACTCGTGAAGCTTGGTGAACTTCAGGGCAATTTCGATGACCTCCTTATCGTAGAGCCAAGGCGGGATGGAGAACTGCATGGACGGCATGAAAGCGGACAACTCCAGCCAACGGAGGTACAGTTCCCGGTCTGGAATTTGCACAGCCCCCTCCGTTTTGTTGGGGAAAAAATTCCCTCCAATCATGTCAGCGGATATAAATGGGTACCCCAACATGCTGATGGTCAGGACAGTGGGGATCAAGGATTTCAGGCCAAGTTCATAGCCCCACACGGAATCCCGGTCAATGATCCTGAAAAAGCAGGAGATATTCTGCGATTGATACCCCACTCTGACCTCAGCCAGTTCATAAAACGGAATGGCCATTTCCGTGTAGCGCCTGGACCAGACACTGGGATCTGACAATGGTCGGAAGGTGCTAAACTGTTTGGGAAGGTAGCTGGTCTCCCCAGCATCAAATTTGAAGGACGAGATGCCATATTTGTTGCGGAGTTGTCTCAGCTGGCTCTGGAACCAATCTCGGGCTGCAGGGTTGGTAAAATCCAAGATGGCGCCAATGCCGTTCCACCATTCCACCATGGCTGGCAGCCGTCCTGTGGGTTCCTTGATGAACAGCTGTTTCTCTATCCCCACCCCAAAATTTGAGGAGTTATAATTTATGAACGGGTGGGTCCAGAGGGTGATCTGAAAGCCTTCCTCTTTGAGCTTCTTAAAGGTTTCAGTCACGTTGGGGAACTTGGCCACGTCAAAGTCAAAGTCGCCATACGCTTGGGTGTAGGTGTCATCGATCTCGATGTGGCTGCAGTTGAACTTGTACTTCTTGATGTTTTCCGCAAAACGCAAGAGTTTCTCCTGGTCGATGTCGTTTTTGTACAAGGCCCAGGTGGACCAGATGGGGTACCTGAAGGCATTTCTTGAAGGTATCTTGGAGGGCTTGTAGAAGTACTTCCGCACCATGTATTTGTGGATGGAGGTGACGTCGGAACCTATGCAGACCCGGTAACTCAGCTCCGGAAAAGGCTGCTGACCCAATGGAGGTTTGTAAGGAGAGTCTTTATACCTGGCTTGGAAGACAAGAGAGGGTTCTGTGGCATTGAAGCCAAGGTGGAAGGGCACTGAATCGTTGATCTTGATGGCTGCAGCTTTGGAGGACAACCAATACCTTTCTAAAATGCCTCCAAAGCTGTTCCTAAAAGAATAGACATCACTGGTCACAAAAGGCATGGGTTCTTGGTATCCGGGCAGCTTGATCGGCCAATGCTGGACACTCATCTCACAGCCCCCATACCAGAGGGCATCTCCCCAGAACATTTTATGATCCACCACCGTGTCTGCCACAAACTCTTCCCAACGCACACGGTAGCAGATCACGGTGTCCTTGGGGGTGACAATCTTGATGAAGAAGTTGACTTTCCCTTTGTCGGTCCGTGTGCAGGTTAAATTGGCCCCCTCCCTGGAGCAGGACTCGAGGTCCAGAAGCCCCGATTGGAAGGCCACCTCGAAGACCAGCTCGCCATTCTGGTTCTTGATGGTGAATCCGTCCTGCCGCAAATCCATCTCCGCTGTCTTGAGCCTCTCTGCCTTCCGGAGGGAAGCCACGTAGTAGCACCATGCCACCACGGCGGCAATGAACAAAATAAGGCCCACCACGATGGCGGTAATCATGGGCTTCAGCTCCTTGGCCGGCTTCTGCTTCACCGGAGTGAAGTTCTCAGGCAGGAAGGTATACATTGTCCCCTCTTATGTCGGATTGCTTCCCAAGGCAGTGCCAGTCTCTGATTTTGGGTGCAAAGTTGGAAACATAGGTGCTGGGTGATGGTCCACCTTCACCTGGTTCTTCAAGAGTGGCCGGACAGCTCATTCGCCTCCTTCAACCAAGGACATTGAACAGATCGCCATCATCTGCCAAAAAAGAGGGAAAGACAAAAAGCTGAAGAAGGTTGAACAAAGGTCAACTAGATATTCTTTTAATAGCCCACATCATCTTCTAAGACATAAAGAAACGACGATGTGTAATGGCTGAAGCAATGTTGGATAAAACTAGGAGAACCTAAAAGTGACCGGGAGACAAACTACATTCTTTCTCACAACAAAACCCACCCTCCTTGGGGTCAATTGTAAAGGTGAAAAATTGAAGGCAAGGAACACTATGTGTGTCTCCTTGAACATTTGGAGGAAAACTGGATATAAACCAGTTAGAACAATCCATCAGTGAAACAGCTTTGCCTTCAGAAGTTGTGGGTGCTCTATTTATTTATTTATTTATTTATTTATTTAATTTAATTTATATGCCGCCCTTCTCCTGGCGGGACTCAGGGCGGCGCACAACCTATTTAAAACCAAAGCATATATACAATCCCCCCCTTAAAACCGAATTAAACCAAATTTAAAGTTGTGTCTTCCAAATTCCTAAAAAACCCAGTATAAAATCCACCCTAGGTCAGGTCCGCTTGCTGAAAGAGCCATGTCTTGAGGGCGCGACAGAAGGTAAGGAGATCCGGAATTATCCGAATCTCGGGGGGTAGTTCATTCCAGAGGGTGGGGGCACCCACAGAGAAGGCCCTCCCCCTGGGGGTCGCCAGCCGGCACTGCTTGGCCGACGGCACCCTGAGGAAACCCACTCTGTGGGAGCGTACCGGTCTGTGGGAAGGAATCTGCGGCAGAAGGCGGTCTCGGAGGTAACCGGGTCCTATGCCATGAAGCGCTTTAAAGGTGGTAACTAACACCTTAAAGCGCACCCGGAAGGCCACTGGCAACCAGTGCAGCTCGCGCAGCAGTGGTGTCACATGGGAGCGACGAGTCCCTCCCAACACC